ATTATGTTGAAGATTTTGTATTATGTAATCAGGGGTCTGTCCAGGCAGAATTTACTACCGTTTAGCGGTACCTTCACAAATTCAATTTTAGGAAGAATGGTAGTTTCACAAAATACTTTATCTTAAAATTTTATTTTTGTATCCTTTAAAAAACGATAAATCCATATTTTTGCAATATTTTTGTAAGATTTTTAAATACAATTTTTTATTTTTCACAAATTATGTCTAAATTTTCAACCTTTCAGAAAAACCTAGACAGACCCCTGGTAATGTTATTAAAAATGAGCATTTCCCATTGTTTTTAATTTCAGTTTCTGATTTTTTTTCTAGTGAATTGATTGTTTTACTTATTAAGTAATCAGTTTTGCAGTTTCTAATTTTAAACCAAAGTATTTAATTTAGTGCCTAGAACAAAGTTTATATAACATTTTCTACATTATTACTGTCAATTACCACCTATAATTACCTTAATGTGTCTGTCTAAATACTTTAGCGTGTAGCCCTTTGCTCAAAAATCTTAGCATAATAAAAATAACTATTAAAACATACTAATTATATCAAATTACTTAAATTATTTTAGAGGATCTTAAAGAATATTTCTGCAAATTTGGTGATGTGACTGATGTCACAATCAAGACTGATCCAGCTACTGGAAAGTCTAGAGGGTTTGCTTTCATCACATTTGCATTAGATGAGACAGTTGATAATGTTTTAAAGAATGTCCCTCATAATATCAAAGGAAAGCAGATCGATCCTAAGAGGGCAAAAGCAAGGCCTGGAATTAAAAAAATCTTTGTTGGTGGACTAGATATTGACTATCCTGAATCTGACATCAGGGCTTACTTTGAAAAATACGGAAAGGTACAGTATAATCCACTTTTTCTTTTCTTTTTTTTTGGCCTAGAGTTGAATAGTGTTTAATATGTTGTTAAATTCTTAGGTTGAAAATATTGAACTTCCATTTGACAAAGTTAAAAATCAGCGAAGACAGTTTTGTTTTGTTACATTTGAAACTGAAGATGCATGTGAACAATCTTGCAAGCAATCTAAGCAGAAGATTGGAAATAAAGAATGTGATGTTAAGAAAGCTACCAATAAACCCGATCCTAGGTTAGGTGGTGGTAGAGGCGGACCAGTGAGCTGCATGGGGAGCTGGTTTTGCTGGTGGCCGTGGAGCTGCTCGTGGTAGAGGAGCCAGAGGTCGTGGAGGTCAGTATTGTTTTGTTGCATTAACTTGGTAACCTTACCTTAAGAGTAGTCCTTACTTTAATTTGATCTCTTCAAATTTAGGTCCTATTCCCCCTGCACCTCAAGGTTGGAATGCTCCTGGAGCATACGGATCTGGTGGGTATGGACAGCAATCTGGCGGATATGGCTACAATCAAGGCTATGGCGGTGGATACGGAAACTATGGTGGTGGATATGATTATGGATATGGCAGTGGCTATGGAGGAGGATATGGTAATTATGATTACAGTGGCTATTACAATCAGCAAGGCAGTGGTGGATATGGAACAACTGGTGGTTACGGTGAGCAATTTTAAATTTTATTGCTCAAATACTGTACCATTTAAGTTATACAGTACATCACACAGTATAATTAGTGTTAGTTTAAATAGAAGTTTTGACCGTACTGAGAAATTGGGTTAATGAAGTTTTTATGAATTAAAAGAGAATGTTTTGTAATCCAGGGAGATTTTAAATATGTTAAATATATTGATGTTCATTCCTTGAATTTTAAAATATCACTTTATTCCAGACATTTTAAAACAAATAGTTTTTTTTCTTTTGTTTTATCTATCGGTTTTCATTGAAGTAGGTTGACAATTCTGTTTTTCTTTTTGATTAACTGCCACCGCTGTTTTCTTAAATGATTATAATCTTTTTTTGCTGGGGTTTATATTTATTGTGCCAGTGAGAATTCTATTCATGTTAAGTAAAAAATAAATTTTAATTTCAAATTTATCAATTTTCAATCAAATTAAGTCTAGATGAGACTGAAATCGAGTTTAAAGCATTGAGTCCTGAACTAATATTTTAATGTTGGTAGAATGCTTAAGTAATGTTTTTTTTTGAGTAATGGGATAAGAACGTGCATTAAGACTTTCTCTCCTCCTGTATGTATAAGAAATTTTTGAGTTATAAATAGAAATCAAAGAAATTCCGAAATACATCAATGTTTTCATGCCACAATCACCTCTGCCTATTGCTTTTTGCATATTTAATGTTCTTTACACTTTGGTTTCATTTTGAATGTGTGAATGTTCATTCTTGTGAAGCAAGCCCTTGTGTAACTTATTAGAATTGCGTTGTTTTGATTCAGTAGTTTTCCCTGTTTTCAG